TCTGCGCCCTCTTTAGCACCAAGCGCCCCCTAACTCTTGTTGCAGGTGCAGTGGAGCCACCTGATCCAGAGAGTCACTCCTGGGTTCTGGAAGCGCCGATGCAAGAACCAACCTTTCAAAGGGGGACTGAACAAGTCCACTTAGAACCTCAAAAAGAAGATATCTGGCAGCACAACAGTAACAGTGGTGGCAGCAGTGAGCTGGTTTTCAGAAGCACTCCAGACCTTCGCCGTATCAGCTCATCTCGCGTGCTGAGGACCCGCAGCTACATCCAGCCGGCAGTTTATTTTCAAAAGCCACCAGTTTGGTCACAGTATTTACAGTGGCTCTTTCTCAGTGTCCAGTTCTCTTAATGAGTCACAAAGTTGGTGGGAAAGCACTTACACCCTCCCTCCTTTAGATGCTGAAACCGAGGGTGGAAAAGGCCTCTTTAGTCACCAGTCACCGATCCCTCTGATGTGTGTTCGAGTGCATTTCCCCGTGTCCCAGCCATTAAACAACATAAGTAGAGCTCCGGGCAGACAAGGGACAGAACCACACAGAGACATCTAATGTGCCGAGTGGCATAAAGCGCACAGGGGACCTTGAGATTTGCCCTTCGATAGCTCTGAGAGCAACAGCGGACCGGTTACCCTGGGCAGGGGTGACCTGAAGGAGGAGCAGAGAGTGGGGCCCGCCGGGCAGCCTGCGGCCGGGCAGCTGGGGCGTGTCTGTTGACTTGCTGATAGTCTGCAGGGGGAGAGACTGAAGCTAAGGACCAAGGATCCTCACTGTCCAACAAGCAGCGATATGAGCAGGGAGAATATTGTCAATAGAGTTTCCCGTTTTACCACCAGTTTTTATAACCGTTTTCCCACGACCTGGGTGCCCTCTTGACTCCCCGGAGCTGTGGTGCCCTTACTAAGCTTGCGTTTGCCAGGAAACAGCTGGCATCACCATTTTCCTGTTTCTTATGTATTCAGTGAAGATGCGGGAGAAGTAGGTATAAGTTATGGGTTTTGGCATCATACACACATGGGTTCCCCTCCTAGCTGTCACTTGCTGGCTGTGTAATCTTGCGAAACTTGTTTAATAACTGAGAGGCTGTTTTTTCTCTGTAAAACAGTGACAGTGCAGACCACCTCAAATGGCTGCTGTGCAGAGAGGGGGACATCGGGTCCTCAGTTCATCACAGCCACTCAGGAACTAGGGCTGGCCGAGCAGCCCCCACCTCCACGGTGGCCAGTTGGCTGGGCCAGAAGGAAAGAGCACGCGGAAGGGTGTCTCATTAGCACTTTAAATGGGTAACAGGCCCAGGTACGTCTGATTGGCTAGAACCAGCCACATGGTGCCACCCACCACAGAGGCCTGGGAAGCACAGTTCCCACGGGCACCGGGAAGGCAGAGAGCAGGAAATCCTTGGCAATTAGTGCGACGTGTAAAGTACCTAGCGCTATGCCCAGCACGCTCCGTGCCCCAGCCACGAGCTCTATTTCAGTTTGAATCTGTTCTAGAGAAAATGTTGTGTGTGTTATTTTAGCATATTCAGAAGTGTTAATGGCTGATAATTAATTGATGTATTATGCTCTCGCGCTCAGAAGTGCCTAGGGTTCCATGGAAGATTCTTGGACACACGATTGTAAAAGGCAAGGACTGAATCTTGCCAGTAACTCAGCCTGTGGAGACTCGGGTTTCCCGGAGGAGGCAGGATCTGGCCTGGGTCTGACCTGTGGGTAACGGCGCAGTAACAGGCAGCCAAGGACGACTCTGGGCGAGTGGCACAGAGCACCGAGACTGTGCTTCGGGCCTGGGCGTTTGTCTGCCACTTGCTCACTTGCTCAGCAGATGCTTACTCAATGCGTGCGTGTGCCAGGCACTGGGAGTATGACATGGGAGAAAGCAAAGGCGCTGCCCTCATGGGGCTTGGTTTTAGTAGCAGAAGGCGCTCGACACCAAGGAGCACGTACGTAGCAGCGGGTGTTGATAGCCGTGTCTATGAACAAACAAAGTACAGGCTGTTGGGCAGGCCAGGGCTGCAGAGGGCAGGGGGTGCTGCCGTTTTATTGGGGGTGGTCAGGAAAGGAATGGGGGGAGCAGGCTCTGCGCAGATCGAGAAAAGCATCCCAGGCAGAAGGGCCAGCAAGGGCCAAGGCTCTGAGGGGAACCTCCTGGGCCCATGTGAGGAAAGAGCAGAATGGTGGAAGGACTAGGGACTAGGAGCAGGACTAGGGGCTTTAGTCCTGGTCCTGCTACTCACTTGCACTGGCTCGTGCAGCTGGCAAAACAGCCACAGGGTTGTGAGGGTGGCTTGGGAGGCGACTGCCTGGGTTTGATCCCAACTCTGCCCTGAGGAACTGGGGGAGCTGGGCGAGTTCCTTGCCCTGGCTGTGCTTCGATTTCCAGGTGGGGGCTCCTCCTCCTTGGCCTCTGGGAGGCTGGCACGAGTGAATCCACACAGAACTGAAACCAGGGCCTGACATGCAAACTGCTTCCCCTCTGGGGGTTCGGCACCATCACCCACATACCGTGAGCGTCAGAGATGGCTTCCTTAGGCTCTCCACTCGAAGTCTTTGTAAATCTGATGCTGATTTGCATGCTGTTCTGGGGACCATTTCCCATCAGTCGTGCCATTCTCAGGAGCTGTTTGTTTCTGTACGTTTGTTTTTTCAGTCTGACCTCATCACTGTCGTCTTGCTGGATGTGGCTTCTCTCCAGCGACACTGAGAGGTCCTTCATTTGTCTTTGCTGGCCTCCCACTCCCTCAGAGTCACCGGTGGGCCTTACTCCTTCTGGAAACTTTACACCACCTCAGTCCACTTAGCTGATAACAAACATTCTCTCCATAAACTTCAATGCACTGATAAGGGGTCTCTGTAGCAGAAACTAAAAAAAAAGAAAAAAGAAATTCAGGCTGTTTTCTGAAGGAAGACCAAGTGCCTGGGAAAGATCCCATTTGCACTAAGGGGACACCGAGTCTTGGGCACTCAAGGACGGCCCTCCCTGCGCTACTGTCCAGGATGCCAACAGCACTGTTCGGCAGCCTAATCACTGTGCTGGCCACAGTGAGCACACAGTAGGTGCACTTTACCATTCCTCCAGTGTCTAGATCTCCTGGCACACTGCTTGTTCCATGAGTGCTGGCGACTAGCAGGTGCTCAGTTTGGAAGGACAGGTGTTTTAGAATGAAAACAGGAACCGGCAATTGCTGTCTCTTTCTGTGAATGACTTACTCAGAGTGAGACATCAACTCCTACGTCAGGCACCCCCAGATTGCCCAGTGAGCGAATGTTCTAGGTGCCAGGGATACTGGACCTGCCTCCCCCCTCCCCAAGCTGGGTGCTCAGTTACATCCGGATCCAGAGCAAAGCGGCTGGGGAGGAGGGAGGGCAGAGCGGGCGGGATGCCCGCGCCACCATGTATGACCCCTGTGGCCCAAGCCTTATGTTTCTCATCTGTAGATCCTGGGCCTGTACCTTTGTTTTAATGAATAAATGGCAATATGTGCCTTTATAAATCTGTCACTTATTATCTTGCATAAGTAGTGTGCGTATTTATCTCGCTAAATAATTACGTGACTGTTCAATTGTCGATCTTAGCAAGTGCACAGCCCACTGAGTTTACTGTATCTCTTGGTCAGGGAAGAGAGAGCAGCAGTGCCAGGAGGGGGCTCCGGGGGCTCCCCCAGTCTCCCTCACCCTCAGGGTTACTTGTTTTTCTCCATGTGAGCGCCTATAACGAAACACACACACATCTGTGACACCAGCGCTCCTGGCAATCCTCCCGTTTCAGAGCATGCTGACCATGAAGCCTGGAGAGGGCCATCTGGGCACGGTCCCCAACCCCATCACAGCCTGGTCCTGTCAGCTCCCTTTCTCACCACCACTCCCTCAGGTGAGAACCTGTCGCACACCCGCTCTTCCCGGCCTGGCTGCCGTTGCTCTGGCTGCCCCTCTGCCCTCACTGCGCGTCTCAACCTTCTCAGCAACGCGACTCCTGCCCGGCTAAGACCGGTCCAGGGTCACGAGGAAGTCTTCCCCCGTCGGGGCTGGGACGTCTCCCTCGACTATGCTTCATGCACCCCCGTGCTGGGGATTCCTCCGAGTGCGGGGATCCATGCTGGGGATCCATCCCTGTGCCTCCAGCCCTCACCTCCTCCTCACTGCGACTTTCTGACCCTGTGCCGCCCACATCCCTCCCCATCCTGCGGACGATGACTTTGTCTTTTTAAATTACCGAACCCTAAACCCCCAGGCCCTTCAGAACGCGCCCTGTCTATGCTGGTTGAACACATGGGAGGCGGGGGAAGCTGTTGGGGAGGGAGAACAGGGATCTCCTTCGAGGACTCCCAGCAGAGTGGCCGTTCAGCCACCCTGGAGCCCAGGGGTTCCAGGTCCTAGAGCTTTTCCCTGAATGGGGCTCGCTGGCCCTCGGGTCTGCTTCAGGGGCCAGGGGGGTGCGCTGTTTGGGACAGCCCAGCACGTCGCCCAGAGATCACCCCGCGCACCCAGAGGCGCTGCCTGCCCCTGCGAGGAGGTTCGCAGCCGGCCCCAGCCAGAGCCGCTCTCCTCCTGCAGGCTAAGGCAACACCGCCACCTCCTGGCCTCCTGTCACCTCTTGTGGCCTGACTTGGGAGGTCTTGGGCGCCCTCTTGTGGTTATTTCCAGGTCACAGCTAACAGCGCTGCCCCTGGGGCCCTTCCCTCCTTTTGATGCTCGAGTCACTCTGTTGCCTTGTGCCCTGACACCAAGTCCAGGAGGAAGGCCTTCCACNGCTACTGTCCAGGATGCCAACAGCACTGTTCGGCAGCCTAATCACTGTGCTGGCCACAGTGAGCACACAGTAGGTGCACTTTACCATTCCTCCAGTGTCTAGATCTCCTGGCACACTGCTTGTTCCATGAGTGCTGGCGACTAGCAGGTGCTCAGTTTGGAAGGACAGGTGTTTTAGAATGAAAACAGGAACCGGCAATTGCTGTCTCTTTCTGTGAATGACTTACTCAGAGTGAGACATCAACTCCTACGTCAGGCACCCCCAGATTGCCCAGTGAGCGAATGTTCTAGGTGCCAGGGATACTGGACCTGCCTCCCCCCTCCCCAAGCTGGGTGCTCAGTTACATCCGGATCCAGAGCAAAGCGGCTGGGGAGGAGGGAGGGCAGAGCGGGCGGGATGCCCGCGCCACCATGTATGACCCCTGTGGCCCAAGCCTTATGTTTCTCATCTGTAGATCCTGGGCCTGTACCTTTGTTTTAATGAATAAATGGCAATATGTGCCTTTATAAATTTGTCACTTATTATCTTGCATAAGTAGTGTGCGTATTTATCTCGCTAAATAATTACGTGACTGTTCAATTGTCGATCTTAGCAAGTGCACAGCCCACTGAGTTTACTGTATCTCTTGGTCAGGGAAGAGAGAGCAGCAGTGCCAGGAGGGGGCTCCGGGGGCTCCCCCAGTCTCCCTCACCCTCAGGGTTACTTGTTTTTCTCCATGTGAGCGCCTATAACGAAACACACACACATCTGTGACACCAGCGCTCCTGGCAATCCTCCCGTTTCAGAGCATGCTGACCATGAAGCCTGGAGAGGGCCATCTGGGCACGGTCCCCAACCCCATCACAGCCTGGTCCTGTCAGCTCCCTTTCTCACCACTACTCCCTCAGGTGAGAACCTGTCGCACACCCGCTCTTCCCGGCCTGGCTGCCGTTGCTCTGGCTGCCCCTCTGCCCTCACTGCGCGTCTCAACCTTCTCAGCAACGCGACTCCTGCCCGGCTAAGACCGGTCCAGGGTCACGAGGAAGTCTTCCCCCGTCGGGGCTGGGACGTCTCCCTCGACTATGCTTCATGCACCCCCGTGCTGGGGATTCCTCCGAGTGCGGGGATCCATGCTGGGGATCCATCCCTGTGCCTCCAGCTCTCACCTCCTCCTCACTGCGACTTTCTGACCCTGTGCCGCCCACACCCCTCCCCATCCTGCGGACGATGACTTTGTCTTTTTAAATTACCGAACCCTAAACCCCCAGGCCCTTCAGAACGCGCCCTGTCTATGCTGGTTGAACACATGGGAGGCGGGGGAAGCTGTTGGGGAGGGAGAACAGGGATCTCCTTCGAGGACTCCCAGCAGAGTGGCCGTTCAGCCACCCTNGTGGGGAGCGAGAACAGGGATCTCCTTCGAGGACTCCCAGCAGAGTGGCCGTTCAGCCACCCTGGAGCCCAGGGGTTCCAGGTCCTAGAGCTTTTCCCTGAATGGGGCTCGCTGGCCCTCGGGTCTGCTTCAGGGGCCAGGGGGGTGCGCTGTTTGGGACAGCCCAGCACGTCGCCCAGAGATCACCCCGCGCACCCAGAGGCGCTGCCTGCCCCTGCGAGGAGGTTCGCAGCCGGCCCCAGCCAGAGCCGCTCTCCTCCTGCAGGCTAAGGCAACACCGCCACCTCCTGGCCTCCTGTCACCTCTTGTGGCCTGACTTGGGAGGTCTTGGGCGCCCTCTTGTGGTTATTTCCAGGTCACAGCTAACAGCGCTGCCCCTGGGGCCCTTCCCTCCTTTTGATGCTCGAGTCACTCTGTTGCCTTGTGCCCTGACACCAAGTCCAGGAGGAAGGCCTTCCACGACGCAGGATGCGGCCGCCCAGAGGCACACGATGGAATATGTGGCCAGGCACAGGCCACAAGGCAGCTCCCTGGTGACAACGTGCTGCCCCGCCCCTCTAAGCGGCACATAGGCAGTGAAAACAGTGGCAAGTGGCGAGCAGAGGACTGCAGGGGAGGGTGGAAAGGAGCTGGGTAGAGAGAAGTGGAGGGGAAGGGAGGAGGGGGCTGCTGCTCTGACCCACATGGCCCTCCCCGGGACTTTCAGGCCCGAGTGTGGAAACCCTTCCCCAGAAGGGGTCCTGCGGCCTTTGCACTTCGCCCCGTGGGAACCCTCGGTAACATACTTGGCCCCCAGTCCTCGCTCAGTCCCGCCGCACTATTGAGGATCCCTCAGGCCCTGGCGGGCTCCGCCGGGCTCCGCCAATCAACCCGTGAGAACCGCAGTGCCAGCCCAGCTTNTGCACTACTGAGGATCCCTCAGGCCCTGGCGGGCTCCGCCGGGCTCCGCCATCAGCCCGTGAGAACCGCAGTGCCAGCCCAGCTTGCAACGCACGTCCCTGAAAGGCGTATTTTGATTTGGGACAAATCTTATGCCAGTGTGTCCTGCCAAGAAACCATTGCTGTTGAACCGTTGGTTTTTACTGCTGTCAAAGGTAATCTTACAGGGAGAGCAGGAAGGGGTCACCGGCGAGGGCCTCCTGAGACGGGCTCTGACTGGCTGGGTGGGACTTTCTTAGAACCCTCTGGAGAGTTTGTTTTGTTTTTAAAAGAACACCTAGAATGGCTGTTTCTGATGAACACCGACACGCACAGTGCAGCTAACCGCTGACCAGTGGCACTGACTGGGCGCAGGCCATCCTCACTGGCCCGCAGTCAGCATTGCTGGGGGGCCCAGGGAGGGGCCCCATGAACACCTGGAGCCCCAGCTGCAGCTTAGCTTGGGGCACATGCATGCCCCAATGTGGGCAGTCCTGGAGGGTCTGCCAAACCCACAGAGGTGGGGAAGAATGAAGAAATAATTTGCCAAAATTTGAGGTCTAGGCTACTGAAGGGACTCCGGAAAAACCAGTATAGATGCTTCCTTTTCAGTAATGCTTCCCCCCAAAATACTTGGAGGCACAGAAGGGTGACATTTTATGCTACTGGCTTTGTTCTCTTGTTTTGTTTTTGATTCTAATAGAAATTATTTCCAATGAAAAACCAGTAGAGAACTGAGAGCTCAGAATCTATGTGGATGAACTGTCACATCAGACCTTGTTCTAGGAAGAGTTAACTATCAGAAGTCAAAGATAGGAACTTTCCAAGTGCTCATTCCATTCATTTCCCTCTCTGGGACTCAGGGTCCTTCTTTGTACAGTCGGGGTTGACCTTTCAAGGACCTTTGTAGTTCTAATGCCCTTTGGTTCTTTGAAAGGAAGCCTTATATTATCCCAAGGGTGACCGCACGTCACATTGTCACACATAATGGCTTTTACTGTAGGGAGATGTTCATTTGCTCACTCATTTTTCCATCCATTCAATCGACACACAGTGACTGCCTTCGAAATGCCCGACACGGCTGCAGACACCAAGGACACGCTGTAAGTAAAGCAAGGTCTTGGCCCTCATGGAGCTTGCAGTCTGACGGGGTCAAACACAACAAAAAATTGGGGAGGAAAGGGACATCTGTAATATTTTAAACAAAAATAAAATTTAAAAATTTTAAAAAAACGTAAAGATGTGCAGTATAATGGAATACAGTGTGGTAAGACAACGCAAGGGCAGCTGGNTAAAGGTGTGCAGTATAATGGAATACAGTGTGGTAAGACAACGCAAGGGCAGCTGGCAACAGCGCTCTGGAGAGAAAGCTGGCAGCAGGGGTGACGGGCGAGGAATGCGGCTGAGACAGGGTGGTCGGGAATCTCTTCTCTGAGAGGGTGCCATGCGGGCAGAGACAAGGGAGGGAGGGAGGGAGGGACGGAGGGAGCCACCAGAAGTGCAGGCAGAGGGAAGAGCAGGTGGGAAGGCCCCTGCGAGCTTGCTTGGTGCGGTGGAGAAGACAAGGAGCCTAGGAGTTGGGGGATTCGGATGAATCCCTGATTCCAGCTTACGTTTTTGGTTTTTAAAAAATTTGACAATGGCTGAAATTGCACATGTTAAATGTGTTTATTTATTTATTAAGATATGTTTTTATTGATTTTGAGAGAGAAGAAGTGAAAGGGAAAGAGAAAGAGAGAAACATCGATCTGCTGTGCGTCCCCCACTGGGGATGGAGCCTGAAACCTGAGCGTGTGCCCTGACCGGGGATCTAAGTGGGGGTCTCTTGGTGCGTGGGACAGCCACACGGCCCAGAGCCCATCTTACATTCTGATTCTGAGTGCGATGGGCCGTTCATCAGAGAGCTAGCATGTTCAGAAGGAAGGGTCACTGTTGGGGGCACGTTGCTAGGCAGTGCGAGTACCAAGAGGTAAAATGTAGTCTTCTTGCTGAAGGACCCTTGGGATGAATGTACACAGATCTCTACGAGTGACAGTAAAGGACAGTGTGGTGGTGGTGGTGGTGGTGGGGGGGGGAGTATGTGCCGGGATGCAGAGACCGTGCAGACACTAGTTCCCAGGGAGCTTCAGAAACTGGAGGGGCCTCCCCAGCAGGAGGAATCCCATCAGGACCATGGAAAAAGGCAAACAGAGGGAGTGTCTCAGGCAAGGGGGGACTGCGCAGTGGGCGGAGTGGTGGTGGGCAGGGCCTGTGTGGAAACCCACTTGCCTGCAATGGGAAAAAGTGGAGTAGACAGGCCAACTGAGGAGGGAAGGAGTGTAGCCCCTTTCTAAGGCTGGAGGGGAAGGTGCCTCCCCTCATCCCAGTGCTCTGCTAGAAGAACATGGGCAGGACTCTGAGGCCCTTTACTCCTCAATGAGAGTTAATGGTTTCCCTCGGGGGCCTCAGTTACCACATGGGCCACGGGCCCCACCTGCCCCAGGGGCACAGCTGAGGGAGGAGGGCAGATAGCGCTCACCACCCGCCTGCCCGTCTCTTGCCATGTGAATCACTGTGCTCTACGCTTTGACCAAGCCTTCCAGATGCTCAGGGGCCTCTCCACCAGGGATCACCTTTCTGCAAGCCATTGTGACCTGTCCAACAATGAGCCTGTCTCTGCCTTGGCCTGCGTTTGCCTGTGTCTCCTGCTGGTGTGAAGACCCCAGTTCACTAGGCACAGATGGAGTTGGGGGCCTCAGACCGTCTGTCCACTGAGAGCTGGATGTGGAAGCCTCCCAGGCAGACTCTGAGCTGTGCCTGCCAGCAGCACACTGCTGTCACCCGCTGCCACCATCTATGAGATAATGTCTCTCCATTTGGGGACTGTGACATAGTTATATCAGACCTCAACGGCCAGTGCTCACATTCTGGGCCAAGACCAGTGTGACAGCAGGGAAACCTGAGCTGCGAGGGACATTCTCAGGCTCAAAAATCACAAACCCGACAGGGAAAGGCATTTGATCAGAAAATGACACCATTTGGGTTATTTTCATGCTCTGGATTTAAGCTGCCCTTTACATGGAGCCCCCCTGGTCACAGGATGTTGGTGCCAAGTGATCCTGGTGGATGGATGACTCTCACTTGTTTTTCACTGTAGAACAAGGTCACGTCTGTTTGGGGTACACGATGAGGTTGTATAGGCGAGAGGGCCAGCCCCAGGTCGGGTCTGTGTTTTCTGCACCCAGGACCTGCAGGCAGCGGCAAGGCCAGGTTCTGAGGCTCCGTGGCAGCCAGCTGGCCTGGGTGTGAGTGCAGGGAGAACTTTCTCCCCTCCCCAACCCCTGCTCCTGCCCCCAACACACAACTCCTGAAACTTCTATCCCTGTTCAGGGTACAATGCTGTGGTGTCTAATGCCATCTAATCAGCTCTTTGATCATCCTGAACTTGCAACTAAGAGGGAAGGACAACTGTCAACCACTTGGAGACCCCAGCATCAAACAATCAGTTCATGAATTCAGACGATGCATGTGTCTGCTTTTTACTGAGCACTTTGCTGTGTGCCCTGGAGAAGACAGACCCACAGGCAGCATAGTCTGTACTCTCAGAGTACATCATGAAGGCGCGAAGGACAAGGGCTGCACTCAGGGAGCCGTGAATAAATGGTCAAACATTGACTGGTCTGGCACTGATGAGAACTGAGATAGGAAGGAAAAGAGAGACTATTCCAGGGGGCAAGAGCAGGAGAGGCCTGTGCCCACACCAGTGAGTCACCTAAGCCCTTTTCTCTCTTAAGGCTGAAGGTAGAAGCCCCTTTCTCCAGAGCAGTGGGAGAGTCTGCCTTCAAGCTGTCAATAATTTTGAATGAGAGTTCTGGGTTTACCAATTTTAAAACTCGAAAGGGTTGAAACCCTCTCCAGAGCGATGAAGGGCAGCATGGTCTACTGGTGAACGGACTAGAGTTCCAGGAGACCTTAGTTCTAGACCTAGTGAACAGAAAGGCTTTGCATCAGCTTTTCATTTGCACATTGAAGGCTTTAGGTTCTCCCCTGCGTATGAAGGGTGATATTGTTACAGGGCAGCAGAGACATCAGGGAACTAGAAGCGGAAGGCCTGGGTTCTAGTCTCAGCTCTGCCAGTAATAGTAACAAACACTACGCATTGTGTGCTAGAAGTTGTTCTACGAATCCTGAAAGTATTAGCGCCGTCCCCCGCAGTCTCTGTGAGGAGAGCAGCATTACTGTTTCCATTCAGGACGGAGGAGGAGACTAAGGCACAGATGGTGTCAATCACTTACCCAAGGACACAGAGCTCATCTGCGGCAGAGCTGAGATCCCCCCCTCTGTTGGCTGTTGGCAAAGCGAGTTTCTTAACCCCTGGGCTATTGCCTCTTGAAAAAAATGGGCGAATGATCTTGGGCAAGAGACAAACTCTCTGCATTTAATTCAGGACTCTAGTAAATTCCCAATTTCCTTTAAAAAGTGATTCTCAAGCTCTAGATAAGACATTGGACCTGAAATACTTTGTAATTTAGAAAGTCCTATACATGTGTAAAGTATTCCATGTCTCAGAGGAATGATGAAATGATGAAATTAGAGGGCTGATGAAACATACCCTGGAATGTGGAAAACAAAAGTACGTACCCTGATTTCCACACTACCGCCGTCGGAGAAAGGCCAGCTGGGACGAACAGGTCCTTGGACTCCATGCGGATTCCGGGGTGTGGCTTAGTCTTCAAATCTGCATGGTATCCTTAATTAGGGGAAAATGCAATTTAGAAATGTCTTATCCTAGGAGACAGAGTCCAGACCTTCGTCTCGGGAAGCGCGTCTCAGCTCGTTTCCTTCCTCCACTGTCACTGTGCTTCCTTCCCTCCTCCAGGCTGAGGCCCGAGTGGGCTGGGGAGGATCCTGGGATCCACGTCAGGACGAAAGCGAATCATCCGCTCATTTCCATGGCAAACGTGTAGAGCATCAGCCCTGTTCTAGAAACTGGCCCGGGTGGGAGGACAGCCTGTCTGACGTGATGGAGCTGGACGGGGCCTTATCTATGATCCAACCCAGCCTCTGTTGGAAGGGAAGAAACCCAAGGGCAGGGAAGTGCAGAGATCGCCCAAGGTCACTGTGGCCCGAGACGAGAAGCCGGCTCTGCAGATGCCCAGGCCAAGGTGTTCCGCCCAGTTCCTTGCTTCCCTGCTGGGTGAGTAGGAATTTGTTCAATTGGACCATCCTGTCCCTGTGACAATTCCAAACAATGTCAGGAGATTTTTTAAAAACTCACCTTTGAATTGGTTCCTTCTCGGCCTTTATGTGCCTGAGGAGTTAAGTTGGCACAATCTATTCGGGGCTCATGGATACTCCTAATCACCTGATTTCCTGTGGCAAGGACTGTTTCCCTTTGGGACTGAAATCTGCATCCATTCAGGGTGTTGTGTGTTCCTGTGAGCTGAAACAACCAGTCACAGCCATTAAATACCACAACAAATGCCCAGGAAGTGGACTTTCCACCCCCCACCCCCTCAGCCCCGCCTTCCCTCTTCACAGAGACCCTCCCCACTGGCAGGAGGGTAATTCAAATCTTTTGATGTTATTGGTCCCTCTCAATTTAGTGGAACCAAAAGCGGAATGGTAGGGGGGCCTTGGGTTGGAGGTTGGAGAGTATGTCTCTTAGGGAGAAATCAACACCATGTTGAGCCCAGAATTCATCAGATTCTCCCTTCCGTGATGAAGAGGCCCTTTCCCTCCAGCTCCCAAGTGGCTCCAGCTGGATGTGCTTAGAAATGGGTCATGGCGAAGACTGCCTCTGGGGACAGTTCCACCTCGGCCAGTCTCAAAAGGCGTTAGAGTCAGGAGCTAGCTGGTTACTGCAGCCAGGGTCCCTCAGAGCTCCCCCAGCCTCAAAGGCTGCTATACACCTATGAACACTCTTGGTGTGCAACTGAGAAGCTGGTGTATTTCTACAACTGAGGGGCCACGTGGAGGAGACAGAGCCCGAGGCTCCCCTCGCTCACGTGGAACCTGGTGTTCTTCCTGTCATCTGGTTTAGTGAAGGGGATTTTGCGGGGTGTGGGCTCTCTTGTGTGTGTAGGAAGATGGAAAGAAAATTGCCAGATGACAACAAGGATTCCAAGCCTATCGGAGGAAGGAAAAACATTACTCACCGACACAAGAAGGCTGCCAACTCCATTTATGGATCGGGCAACTGTACGCAGGGAAAGTCTGTTAGGAGCCTAGATGGTGAGCACAGAGGAACTGGCCAAGGCTTCCGAGAAACTGTGAGATGACAGAAAATAATAAAGGGCCGGGGTGTAGCACTGGGTGCTGCAGAAACCACAGTAAACTAGACAGCCTGCCTTCAAGGGGTTAAAGACAGGCATTTTCATGAGGGGCCGGTCACGGTAGATGCCTGACTGCCCTAGGGCTTCTTGATGAAGTCAGCCAGATGTTTCAAGCAAGTTGTGCTCACTCTGGCTCATTTAAGATAACCTCTGTTTAATTAAATGTTATTATTTTTTTAAAGGGACTTGTTTATTACATACTGCTTATCAGTGCAGGGGTGAAAGGCTTAAGGAACTATGAGCAGATGCAATTAGCAACAGTGCTTTGCTTTCACATCATCTTTCCCACTTGAGCATTAATTATTCAGCATTTTCTCACCAGTTTCCAGAAAGTTCCTCTAGGAGGCTGAACTCCCAGAGGTGATTCGAGGGAGAGGAAAGCTTCTGCAATATCTCCAGAGGCCATTTTGTATCTTTCAACGTCCGAACTGTTTTTACAACAGGTTTTCCATGGCAACTTGACAAGTCACTAAACTCTCTGCATCTTAGAATCGGGACTTCAAGTCAGGGGAAGGGATGGACATGGCTAAGATTTCTAGTCGGGTGTCAGTCAGCTCAGGCTGCTGTAACAAAGAGTATATACAGGGTAGCTCAGACAACAGAAATTCATTTCTCACAGTTCTGGGGGCTGAGAAGTCCAAACTCAGGGGCTGGCAAGGTAGGTTTTGTTCTCAGGCACCTTCTCTTGGTGTGTCGGTAGCTACCTTCTCGTCATTGCTCCCATGACCTCTTCTTCAGGCCAATGTGGAACGAGAAAGCTGTGGTCCGTCCTTTGCATACAAGGGCACTAATCCCTTCATGGGTGCCCCACCCTCATGACCTCATCTACGTCTCATTTCCTCCCAAAGGCCGGCCTCCTAATGCTATCACGTGAGGGACTAGGACTTCAGTTGTGTGTGTGTGTGGTGGTGGTGGTGGTGGTGGTGGTGGGGGGGGGGACCAAGCCTGAATAACTCTGAACAGTTGAAATAACTATGAATAAATATTTATGTTTATATATTATTTATAATCATACACTTATTTATTTATCATTAGTAAAGGAAGAACATCATCTTCTAAAGAATCCTAGCTGTCTATGGAGCTATTAAGCTTACACTGACATTATAGCGTCGTGATGGTCTTTGGTGTCAAACCAATCTCTACGTGCATTTTGGTTCTGCCCTGCAGTAGCAGGTGAACTTGGGAATGTTGCTTAACTTCAAGTTTCAATTTTCTTATCTGAAAACTGAGGGTAAAAAAAAATATCCTTCTGTGTGTTGTTGAAAGGTGTGAACTAGTAGTAAGANAGAAAGAATTGACCAGAATGTTTAATCTTGGGTCAGTGGTTATTCTGATTTCATAGAAGGTAATGCCAGGGCCATCTTCCCCGTAGGACAGATAATGTAGAAGCGAGGGCAAGGAATATCATTATATTTAAGATGGACATGTAACCATAAGTTGGCTTCTGTATTAATTTATCCAAAAGACAATATGACTAGTTAGGCAGCCTAGTTGACCCATGGCAACTGGTCGCCTGACATACAACGGTCTCGGGACAGAGGATGTAATTTTGGAGCCGTGCAGGAAAAGGTGAATGACAGGACAGGATGTTTCTTCTAAAGGTTCTTTTTTTCCCCTGCTGTTGCCTAGTTTTGTTTTTAAGGGAAGGGCTTTGGAAATAAACATAGAGAAGGAATTGGGTGAGGAAAACTCCTGGTCCAAGGCTGCCTGCTCTAAAAGAGACCAGATGAGGAACATTCCTATCACTTGGGAAAACCCACAGAAACCCTAATGTTATGAAGAACTCAGGTCATTGCACCCCAGCGGTGGGTATCCGTCCACATCCAAGACCTCAGCACGTGGAGCTTGCAGAAACCTAAGCCCTTGCCCCAACTCCCCCACACGGCTAAAAGGGGGTGCCCAACCCTCCCTGTTCCTCAAGCATTAAGGCCACAGATATTACTGCTATATCCACACATGCACACTCATCCGTCCAGACAAGTTTTTGCCCTGTAAATGCCATAGGATCCTCGCAAGTCCACATCTGAGCCAGGTACACACCTGTACAAGGAGCTACTTCTGTTTCAAACATCAGGGCACCAGCTTTCTCTATCTCATCCAAACAGATCATGGAAAAGGAAACTTTTTGGGTCCTCACTCATATGCAGGACTTACAAAGCTGTCTGGAGCAGATCTGGTGTTAATTTCTCAGTGCTTCGAGCTGTAGTAAGTGGTTAATCCCAAGGAGGTTTACACTGGAGACTGCAGACTGAGTCTTGGCTCCAGAGGTTGTTCCACATCATGTGTTGTGCAAATGTGCCCTGGCAGAAGGAAGGGACTCCGTTCCACAGCAGATGGGCTTCTCGTGCAGGCCGGCTCCAAGGTAATATATGACTCAAGCACGAAGTTATCTAGATTCCCTCTTCTCTTGAAATGCATGTCTTCCTCTCTGACTGAACTTCCCCCTTTGCTCCTTTCCCTGCTCTTGCCCTTTCAGATCATGGCCCAGAAGCTTGTTCTGGGGCCCACAAACAGCAGGTGATTTCATCCCCATGGGGCCAACACGTTGGCCTACACTAACCCAGATGTCTTCGAGTCATTCGTTTTTATTCTTACGGCAGCTGCCTAGTTTTCTCCCTTTTAAATGTATTTTTTATTGATTTCAGAGAGAGGAAGGGAGAGGGAAAGAGAAAGAAAGAAACACCGATGATGAGAGAGTCGTCATTGAGCGGCTGCCTCCTGCACTCCCCCTACTGGGGATCGAACCTGCAACCCAGCCATGTGCCCTGGACAGGGAATCAAACCGCGATCTCCTGGATCCTAGGTCGATGCTGAGCCGTTACGTCCGGGTGTCAGCTGCCTAGTTTTACTCTGTTGTGTTCAGGCGGATGGACACTGCAGCAAATGTGGTGGGAAAGACAGCAAACTACCTGTAAGAGGGAGGAATTTACCCTACTTTCTTTTCTTCAAGGTTATTACTTTGTCTCTGAAGAGTTTTCCTTGTAGGATCCTAGACATGGTTTAGATGAGCTGTTAGAGGTGTGAAGGAAAGAGTTTAAATCTGAAACCAAAGGATTTCCAAGATGACTCAGAGCAAGTGGAAGAGAAATTTCTCTTCATGGTAAATGCATCCCTTACAAATTTGTGTCTGAGGAAGGGAAAGAGTTGAGAATATTTCCTGCAGGCAGACTTTCCCTTTCTCTCTCTCTCTCCTCTCCCTCCATCCCTTCCTTCTTTTTTTTTCTTTTTCTGTTTTCTGATCCCAGTGAGATAGAGTAGGTAAAGGTCAAAGACTGGGGAGTAGAGAGTGTATGTTGGGTATTTTTGTGACTTAATAATTTTAAAAACTATTTTCAAATCAGGACCAGTTTTCTTCAAAAGTGCACAGCTTTAGAACCTGATGGCCCACATGCTTAGGCTGCAAACTGTTACAAACCATGTGAATTTTGGCATAGAAAATATAAAAACAAACTTCTTCCAGTTGACATTTGATGTTGAATAAAGGTATAAGGTCCTAAAAAGAAAATTTGTCTCCCTCCTTCCCTCTCTAAATCTTCTTTCCAGCAAATTCTTTTTACTGAATTTGTTCACACATTTTACCTCCTAAAAGTTAATGATGAGCTTCAGTATTTATTTCGTACCTACTATTCACTGGGTACAGACAGGGTGGGGAAAAGTAGGTTTACAATTGTGAATATGAGAAACCAAGTTTATTCTTGTATTGTTTATTAATTATTGTATTATTTCCCATATGAACTGTAATCTTACTTTGCCTCACCCTATATACGGGAAAGTTGAGGAGGCATAGGGGTATAATGAGAACCAGAGACACAAGATATGTTCCCTGCCCTTGAAGAAGTATACTTTTACTGTGTATCT